CCTGTGCAAGTGCCACTCTATAAGGGCTGTCAACACTCCAAATTGAAACTATTTAAGTCCAGTAAATGACAGTTAAGACCCCATATCCAGCTGGGATTATTTCATCATAATAAAGAAAATGTCTGCCCTACAACTGTTATGTCATATTCTTAATGCTAAGTTTCTATGGAAAAAAGGGGAAAGAGGAAACAAATTGGAACTTGATTATGGGTGACCAATTTTGTATTGGTTCTGATACATAAACTACTTTCATTGGGAAGTGCATAAGGGTAGCAATCAGAAAATAAGGACCACATCAAGCATTCAACTGCTTGACTGAATATTATTTTTGGCAACTACAGTGCATGTACTCAGGAAGATTTTATACTTACCATAAACAACAGAAAATTCATTATGATCTTGAAATAAAATGGAACCAGTCTAACAGATAAATAAAAACAAATCATGTAAGTAACATTGAAAGTAAAGAAGAGGACAAAAAGAATCGTTCTGCTTAAATATTAAGGCTTGATAAACAAAGTAACTACCACAACAAATTGTTTTAACAATGTTAAAACATAAAAATAAGATAAACAAGAATAAAATAAATCAAGAAAACATTGCAACAAAAGTCATAAAATATCAAAATACATGTAATGAGGAACAAATTATTGGAAGGAAAAAAATGAAATACAGATATTTAAATATTTCCACTGTTTAAATATAAAGTTTTAAAAGGAAAAATCTGTATTTTTTCAAAGGAGGCTTGCCAAATCATAATTCACCAGCTTTTCATTTTAGAAATAAAGAAATTATTAAATGCAAATTTCTACTTGCACTGTCATACCTGTTCATGTAATGACTTGACTGATTTTCTAATAATATATCCCTTCCAGAGTGGGTCATCGCAAACAGTCGCGTTTTCTCTATAAAATCGAGCATTTTCTTTCGTCTTTTAGGATCATCTATGTTCATTGCCCAATCCTGTGGTGTTTCTCCATCAATGTCATGAAGACGCAAGTCACCCCCTGCACTTAACAACTTCTCCAATATTTCAACACAACCAATTCTACAAGCGAGGTGAACTGGGGTGCAGCAAAAATTGTCACAACGCCTGAAAAGAGATAATAATAACAAAATAATTGTAAGACTTGCATTCTTTCAGTTATGTAATAAATTACAGAACATAACAACCAATAAAAATGAAGTATTAACAGTACCCCTCCCCTTTTGATCTTCAACAACTTTATTAGTCACAAACCAGCACCTTAAAAACCCTAAAGTGCTGTTAGATGATATCATTATTTAATTATCAATTTTTGTCTTATATTAAGATTCATCTTCAGGATACATATAATTGTGAATTTGACTGGGTTGTTGTTGATAAATATTGTTACTTTAAATGTGTTATTAATAATCATTAGACTGTGTGATGTAATTTGAATTATATCAATGGAGTCATCTAAGATATGATGTAATAAACATCCAAAAATGTCTATACCCCATACCTTTATTGCATTTAAAAGATTTAAATCCTATTAACAATCAGCTGTCTTACAGGGGTACATGGCAAGATAAACATATAGCTAAGTAAATAATTTAATTGAAATTTTGCCAAATAATGTCAAGTCATACCCGACACAAATTTGTTGAGAAAATAAAGACTGAATGAAAGGGTTCCGAAATATCATGAAAAAAAGGCTGTTATTTTTCAGTTAGTTATTTTTGTCTAGCCCTATTATTTGAAGCTATATAAAAGATCCAGCAATTACGGGATACATTATTTTGCAATTAATTTGCTATGTAATGTAATACAGAGCTATCAGCAAGATATATCTATCAGAATATAGATCTATCAGAGGTGGTTTATAGGTCAGTTTTGCTTAAAATGATGACTGTTTCAGATACAAAAATTACATGAAATTTCTCCTTAAGAATATATCATATTTTTGTTGACAAAAATACTTAAAAATACTTACTCATTTGGGTTTGCTCCATGTTCCAGTAATGTATCAATCACATTTTTTCTTTCTTGTAAGACTGCACAAAACAATGGAGTCTGGTTTTTGTCATTTTGGAAATCCACCGATATTCCTATAACATATTCATGAAATTCATCATATCTAAAAAAATAAACTATAGAGGTAGATATTTTGTACATCAACAAAGTTTAAATATCAGATTCAATTTCCTGATTAAACCTTTTTAAAAAACTACAACAAGAACATTGCAACTTATATTTCAAACTATCACCTAATGATGTACAGTAGTATTGATTCCCTGTTAGAAAGAAAATAATATACCTTTCTCTAATACTTTGACGAGCAACTTCTTGTGTCCCTCTCCTGCAGCTTTATGTAGCAAAAATTCCAGTCCTTTGGAATTGTCAATCCTACCAAGCTTGATGTTAAACTTGGAAGTTATAGCGTGAAAAAGCCTAAAAGAAAAGACAAAACAAAACTTTGGAGCAAGGTTTTTCATTATTTCTAATATTTGACACACTGCCCAATTTTTCTGATTTGAACCACATGCCAGATTATTAAATATTATATTTCAGGGATTCATCTACATGTTGTGGCATGGTTTTCAGGTGATATTGTGCTTTTGGTGATTGTCAGGGTGCCTTGATGTTTGGGGGGGGGGGGGGTCACTGCGTTTGGACAAAGTATTTAATGCAAAACATCAAATCATGAAAAGGAAAGGATCGAGCAATGCTTTGCAAGTAAAAGAAAATTGATTTTTTTCACGAGAAAAATTGAATGTGGTGCAAAACCCCCATATGAAAAAAGTAAACATCTTAGTTTAAAAGATACCCAAATATCCGTACAATTTACAAGTGCAAGAGATGAACTCTGAGTTGAGTTCAGATAATGGCAATTAATTCGACACTTACTCTGTCACTGATGCAGCCATTGGCTTAGGCAAATGATGGTTAGGGCAAAAGGTTTTTAAAAGCCTGCAACAGGGGCCTGCAGCACCTTGATTTTGGCAACAAAAACACACACATGGAAAGTTAATGGTGGCGCCAAGCCGGAAGCAGACGACGTCAACTAAATTCAAAGTCTGATTGGTTGAAATTCCATCACCCGGCAACTAGGTAGGCGCCCGTTGTACATCGCCGGAGTAGCCTAGAGAAGCCAAAACCATAGAAGTAGAGAAAAACGAAATAATCATTAATAGACTACGCTAGCCATGTTTATATGTCAGTCAGATGCATTGTCCGCATTGATACGATACACAGATAGATTCCGCGTCGGGGGTGGGGGGTGGGGGGTCAACAGTGGTGGATTTAAAGGGGGGGGGGGGTCAAGGGGATCCTGACCCCCCTTCGGTTTCTGAAAAATATATCGCACCAATTAGGCCTATTCCCCACTTGAAATTAGAATTTTGACTAACTAAATTAGCCTATAGTTCTAAACTGTACAGAAAGCACTGTTTGCTCTTCAAAACACCAAAAAAAATTTCGGGGTCCTTCAGCAGGCCCTGAACCCCACATCAATGGGGGAATGGTCGGCTTCGCATCAGAGGCCTGTCGTTCCGGACTC